ATTATAAATAGTTGGATCTGTCGCCATCCAGCCTCAGCAGATGATGAAGGCCACATACATCGCGCCACTCACTCCCCACCTCTAAAATGAATAATGTGATTAATACAAAAGGAGGTGAATTAGAGTTTATGGCAAACATGTCATTTTGTCATTCATTAGTGTTTCTGTGGTCTTCCCAGAGTAATTTGCAGAGGCTGTTGCAACTTAGCACATCATACGTGTGTCATTCTATAGCTTTATGTGCTGCAACGCCGGCAGCGATTGCAGCCCGCAGGGCAGGTTAAGAGCCCAGTTGTTGGTTGGCAGAGCAGCAATGCTCCGAGCTCAGAGGAGTGGGCTTTTCTCTCACCGCACAGCAGCCATTACTCTAAATCACCCTCCCGCCTTCCTCCTCCTCCTTTTTCTCTGACCTCCGCTAGCATCCACTGACCTGGAAAATATCTGGTGAGTCCAAGCCACCAAGAGCGGCGCTGGCCTTTGCTTCGCCTACAAACAGCAGAAATATTGAGCCAATTACAAGATTATTATCTGGTGGTAGTGGCAGGGGAACACTGTGGGAGTGTAGTTATGCCTGCCAGGGTTCCCTGCTGGAAGAGGAAAAATGAATCAAAGGCTTGTGGGGGAGAAGTGGACAGCACTCATGCCCACTTGCCGCTATGTCTTTACAACTCCTGTCAATTGACAGACATTGGCCCAGATCCAAGCCCCTTTGTAAAAGGTTCAGGGTAACACCAGGAAATGGCCCATTCAGAGCTGATCATTTGTTAGTTTTCTACTCCTCCCTAATTCATATGTCAAGCTGTCATATTATTTGTGCACCCGATTTACAGTAAATAAGACCTTATGGCGCAGTCAGACTTTTTTGGCATTTATATAACAGGCAGACATGAGTCACAGCCTGTATATGAGGGCAGAGTTCAGTTGGTTTGCAAGTGAAATTCGTTCAGTAGGGAAACGAAAGCAGCGATGCGTCAGGCCCTTTATTCCAAAGTGGTTACTTTATAGACGAGCCTACAAAGGACGCATTGAGTGATGTACTGCACGTTACTGTGTACATTGGATTTCGTTTTTTAATAGGGAATAGAGCTGCCTGAATGAGTCCTGGCACCCTTTTCCAGCTAGTTAGTTCCATATGAGAGGAATGACGTACAATTACAACATGTGTTATGTTCTGTCATGTACACAAGCTGTTATGTTCTAAACTTCTTAGTCATCCTAAACATTTTTTTCTTGTTGCTCTCCAGAACTTAAATGCATGCCAAAGCAGTGAATTTGATTTAAAGGGAGGCCAGGGTTCATGCGCTGTTTCTTTTTTTAGTTTGGGTCTGTGTCTTGTTTCATGAGTGGATCCCGCTGCCTGTGTTTCATGCATCACTGTGTTCAGGGAGTCATATTTTAGCAGCATGATGAAGACATCAAAGCAGAATCTGGAACTGCAATAAATATCAAGCACTTGGACAGTTTGTCATCTGTTACATCACCTACCCTGCCAATAAAGTTTCATTAGAAAGCGCTGCATGCTTCTGCTGTAGAATGGAAAGAAATACCCCAGTGAAGTTCACGTACTGTAAAACCAATCCTTACTCCTTTGCCCAACTAAAACTCAAACGTTGAGGATTGAAGTTTTTTACTTCTTTAACACTAGTGTGCATTAGTCACTTAATTGATTAGTAACTACAACAACATCACTTGTCTGGCAACATTTTTTAAAATTTAGTGGTTCCAGTTGGTTATTAGGAACCAAGTGGACCTCCAATTTTCTTCTTTTCTCTATTTTGTAAATTGTAAATGTAATATGTTTGAGTTTTGCACTGTTGGTGGGACCAAATATACAGTTAAAAGATATCACCTTGGGCTCTGGGAACCTGTGATAGACAATTTTCATTTTTTTGACATTCCTTATATTAATTAAAGGGGAAGTGTGCCAATTTTACACATGAACATCTGTTTAGTCTGGCTGCTGCATACGTGAATAAGATATTGTATAAATCCTTATGTGGCGCCATCATAAACATCAATAATTAGCTGCAGGCCTTGTATGCATGCAAGCAAGTTGTATTTGCCACAAAACAGAACGTTTCAGAAGTATCTGTTTCATGTGACTGCACTCCACAGATGAACCTGAAACCATTCTTTTAAAAACTATAACATTAACATCAACGTGAATACACAAGTGCTTTATGACCTCCATACTTCCATACAACATACCTCACTGACCTTGAAAATGGCCTCGCACCAACACACTACCGCTGTGAGTGCATCGACCACAAAACAAGCTGGACGCACGCCATCAAATATGAATGCTTCCTTTAGTACAGGCTCATTTCTTTTTCATAAAACAATAATAATGTTCTCTTTTGGATCATAAAGTTATGGTACTACTGTAAGGGCTGTTTCAGAAGTCTTGTGGTTCCCATATCAGCAGGTTGCAAATATAGACAGGAAGACACTCAGGAAGACTACCTGCATGTCAGTGTATGGGAGTCCCCAGTTATCAATACTAAGTCTGTGTGTTCTTCATTATTGACTTGTCAGCTTAGTAGCCATTGCAGTCCCAGACGGCATTAGGTTTGTTTTAAAGCACCATTATACACCCTCACTCTGGACTCTTGGGGTGATGGGGCAGAGCTAATGTGAGAGGAAAGGAGCCTTGTCCACATTCCTCTTCACACAGCTGTAGGACAGGTTGCAGACACTGAGAAGACTCTGGAGGTCAGATGGCGGTCAGTGTTTTGCAGGCGGATGTAGAGATATCAGTGCACCTGTGTTGCCGTTCTTGCTTTTATCGACCACTTCCTGCGAGTCCCCCTTGTGCTGACCTCGTGATCTTGTTCCTCACAGAGAACATCCACTCAGCCGCATAGCATGGTTGTGTTTTGACATTGGCCTGAAGGTATTGACTTATGGCTTTTAGATCCGTTTCACTTAATACGCTGAGCCCAACCGACAGCTGTTTTAAAGCCTGGAACAACCATAAGGAGACCTGGCAAAAACACATTTGTGCTGCCACCTCTGTAATCGTGACTTCAGTAGTTCTTCCTCTGACATGGCTTCAGTTATACTGTCAGAATTGAGAATAGAGTCTTGGATGTGGAGAAAAGCACGTCCACTCCTCCAAAGAAAAACGGCAGGATCATTTGTTTCAGTAAACTCCACGTTTACGTTCAAATGACCTTTAGCAGCCGTAGGAATTATCTTGAAGGAAAGGAGCGTGAGGAAGAAATAATGTGACATCGTTTAGAGCCACAATGGTTCGATGACTGATCGCTTTTCTTTCTCTTTTAACCATGACCAGTAACAGTTTCTTGCATGATGCCCTGCTGCTAGGACCACCAGATCAGAAAACGCTTCTATGTGTCAGTCTGGAGGGCAGTTAAGACTGTGTCAATTATGTATTTCCTTGTTTAATTTTGAGGACTCGTTGGGGGAAAGCCCTTGGTGAAGTTAGCCATCACGTTCATCATGACAGCTGGTGTCTTTTAGAAATGCGCTCTGGGTAAAACCTGTCCTCGGCGAAGATCTCCATGCCCTCTGTTTCCTTTCATTCTTTGTATGTTAAACAGAGCATGATTATTTACCAGCTTCTTTCTGGAAGGAGAGAAAGATCGTGCCCATCACATCAGAAAAAGGCACTCGGCGGTAGGAAGAAACTACACTGTGATCACACATGCTAGTGCCTGCGTGGTCCTAGAAACAACAGCTTGAAAAAATGAGCACTCTTCAGAAATTTCAGAGGACCTCCTTCCTTTAGGGTCTCAGTAGTTCTGTCACGGGCGGCGAACTGCGTCTACCCTGGGAGCAGCCTGGGCCACTTTGTCAGCGCCAGTCCTCGCTTTAAGCAGCACCAGCCAAGCAGATGAATAATTGACGCCTGCATTCTGTACTTTGGTGAATTTTAAAGCTGTATTCTGCAGAGGCTCTAAATGGTAGAGGGAGGGTGCGTTAATCATTCATGCGCTGCTTTTACCCACTTTGCTTAAGGTCACTGTCCTGAAGGCAGCTGGGCAGAAGGAAAGCAGAGAAAGAGGAGTGGGAAAAGAGGGGTGGCATGGCCAAATGGATTAGCTTGTTTCCCATCCCTTTTGTGAGTTCACGGCGGAAAGGACTCAAGCACACATAAGGAAATGTTGGCAAATAAATTTTATAACCTCAGGTTATGCCTAGTTAAACTTTGCTGGTGTAAATATTTGAGGTGGGACTTATGAGCACACTTTCATCACGATTCAGGATTTAATTTCATGGAGGTAAACACATTCTGATTGCTCAAGTGGAACAGTCCACAACACCTACAGACTCAGTAATTTCCCACATAAAGTTTAAAATAAATACAGTGTTAAACCACAAGAACCGATCTGTGATTTCTCACTTTACACCAGAGGGGAAATTACATGTTATGTTGACATATTTTTCTGATGTTCTCCCACCATTTGTTGCAAAAACTGAAAGACAGGAATGGGATCAATTATGCTGAGAGGGCCTTTCAGCTCAAATATCAATATTTTATAACAGCACTACTACAGTATGGGTATAGGGATTGACATTCTTCTTTTCGCGCCATATGAGAGTGAAGAATACCCCCTTTCAAATGTACCCAGGGGATTTCCCCCTTCTTGATTTCATAACCCCTCAGGCTACATTAAGGACCACTTGAGATAGCATGTGCATACTATCACCACAAGAGTGTCTTTACATCCACAGTGCGCTGCTGCAAAACTGTAAATCAACATTCGGTCACACCTCTTGGCAGCTAATTGAGCTTGGAGAAAGACACCCGATAGAGATCAAATAAATAAACTACTGCAAACAAACTGTTTCCAGTGTTATTCTTGATTGATTGGATTCAGAGTTTTCGATGACATAGCCCGAGTTCGTCCAGTTGGGGTGTTTATTGTAAGAAGCGTGGTTGTATAGCTGTGACAGTTGCTCAGTGTGATTCAGTCTGGAGTGTAGGTCAAACAAATATCTCACTTCCTTTTTTCCAAACATTTTTCTCTTCCCAGGGAGCTGATGCCCAAGACCCTGGAGGGCCAGATCACCATGGAGAAAACCCCCAGCTACTTTGTGACCAGAGAGGCTCCAGCCAGGATATCCGCTATGTCCCGGGACACCAAGCTGATCGTGGTAGTGAGGGACCCCGTCACCAGGGCTATCTCGGACTACACACAGACACTGTCTAAGAAGCCTGACATTCCCTCTTTCGAGAGCCTCACCTTCAAAAACAGGACTACGGGGCTCATCGACACCTCATGGAGCGCCATTCAGATCGGCATCTACGCCAAACACCTGGACAACTGGCTGCAGTACTTCCCCATGGACCAGATCCTGTTTGTGAGCGGTGAGCGTCTGATCAGTGACCCGGCCGGAGAGCTGGGCCGCGTGCAGGACTTCCTCGGGCTCAAGAGGATCATCACAGACAAACACTTTTACTTCAACCAGACCAAGGGTTTCCCGTGCCTGAAGAAGGCAGAGGGCAGCAGCAAGCCCCACTGCCTGGGCAAAACCAAAGGGCGGACCCATCCGAACATTGACCCTGAGGTGGTGCAGAGGCTACGGGACTTCTACAGGCCCTTCAAAACATGAAGTTCTACCAGATGACGGGACGATTTTTTGGCTGGGATGATTGAATGTGTTTTTGTCTGCAACACTGAGGACTGTCAGAAATACTGCAATGGAGTATTAGGAATACTCTACGGGGATGATTTTCAGAATAAAGTCGTAATATTTCAAGAAAAGTTATAATGTAATATAAAAGTGTAAAGTTACAATAAAAGTTATAATTTTGAAATATGACGTTGAAAAATGTGTGAATACACTTTATTTTGTGAATAACTTAATATTCTGTTGTAAAACATGTACATTTAATCTGATCTAATAAATTGTAATCGAACATTTTGGTTATATTCTCGAAACCTAATATACATAACAATAGTTTCATGTAAAAACTATGACTTTATTCTCATATTGTCTTTATTGTGGTAAAATTATGACGTTATTTATTAAATTATGTTTAATTTGTCTTAAATTTACAAATAGTAATAGTAAAAATAGGAAGAAATATATTTTGAAATGATAAGAACCAAAATGTTACAGTACAATAAATATCTGAAATTTTGTGATTTCATTCTGGAAATATTGAAACTTCTTTCTCAAAATATCATGACTTTATTCTCTGAGTCTTTTTCCCCGAACCTCCGTCCTCAGCACTAACCCTAAGCAATATGTGACTGAGAAAGAGGCCCTATCTCCCCTCAGTGGCACCCCAGATATGCAATATTTCACTGTTACATTTTTCAACATCAGAGCTGCCTCTAATCCACAATCATGGAGATATTTTCTTCTAAAAAACATATTGAGTTGTCGAAGGATTTGCATTATATCTCCCTGCACTATCTGAAGAAACTGTTTGTTGTTGTTGTTTTTTTGTTTGGAGTCCTTGGCTGTGACACAGAAATATCGTATGCAGTGCTTCTTTAAGAAGATGGGTGAAATCACATTGTGTCCAGGGGCTTTTGATAAAAGCCGATACCGAGTGAGTTAATGCCATATTTTAAACATACATAGCTGCTTTCAAAAAATTTAACATTTTTCTAGCAAAAAAAGAATATGAAAAGATAAAAATATATGTATTTTTGAAATGTATTTATTCAAGAAGTACACAAGCAGTATGTATTTTGAATAACTTCTCAGTGATTATTTGCTCTGTTGTTATTATGCTTCCCCATGCCTTTAGAGTTTTGTTTGTTTTATACTGAACCTAAAAACATGTTATCCTCATATTAATTTCAGGTCATCCATTCTAATATGTATTTACTATATGTGGATAAGTGTGCTAACACTTTCCAGCTTTCAGTTGCAGAGCTGTGAGTTTGTTATGTCAAGGGTTTGTTTCCCCCACCTCCAGTTAAAGAAGTTACAGGCAAAGATAGCGCTCGCTGTTATTCAAGCAACAGCGACTCTGGTGGAGGGGAAAAGACCTCCAAAGGGCCTTCCCAAACTGTGACTCAAATTTCCTCAACATGCCTCCTTGTGAATTGAATACACTTGATGTCACTGGCCTTCCTTGCCTCCAGGCGATGTGTGTGTGGAAGTCTTTTTAAACCCAGGGAGCACGAGAACAATGGCTGAGCTGTGTTCCTAATTTCTGTCTGCTTGTATTGTGAGCCACTTTCTGAAAAGCAGATGTGCCTCAAAAGACACAAAATCAACAGTGTTTTTTGGTGTGAGCATCAGAAACCAACCTAATATACTGTAGGTTTTTTTGGGGGGGAGGGGTTATGTTACCAATCTCATTGTGCTGTTCTGACTGTTGTTTTCTTAAAGTTGTTGGGATTTTTAAAGCACTCCTTGAATAAAAGATAAAATGTAAATATTTTATTTACATTGGCCTTTGTATAAATATATATATATATATATATATATATATTTTAATATGCATACAGTGTAATAGGATACCAAACCATATCCATAATGTTAAGGAGAGCATTTTAAGGTCATTACAGTGCTGATCACACATCTAACAAACTTGGCTTACTGCAGAATCATAAGAGCACTCCCTTGCTTCTTTCCTATATCCACTGTTACACCTTCACATACTGTCTCTGCTTATCTCTGTCCAGCCTCCAGGGCAGAGAGTAAAGGAGGATTTTAAAAGATGCTTGCAATCTGGAAGCTTTATTCTGGCTCCTTGAAGACTCAGAAGAGGTACAAGCTTTTTGTGGGACAAATATTAAAAAAGTTGGAATAGCATTCGTGGGAAATGGGTTAACTGCAGTTACTCCAAGCTAATAAGTATAATTTAACGTGAAAGAATGTTATGCACAACTTATGACAATACTGAAATAAACAGGAAAAGCAAATATTCAGATACACAGAACATCTGACTTAATGCTCACACTGTATGGTTGGAACAACCACTCACGACATGGGTGTTTGCACAGAAACACAAACCTCCTGCTAAGTTTTGTACATTGCTTTATTCAAATAACATTTTGCTCAAAATGCATTTCTGATGTTTCAGAAATTGGGTTAATCAAGTCTAAAACTTAACATTAAATGGCAGCCGCTCTGGCAGACATGCATCCTAAATCTAAAATGTTCAGAGGTAACTTATTTCAGGTTAAAATCATGCTTAATCCAGATAGTGTCTGCCTAGTTTTAAGGGCAGATTTCCCATTAATAGATAAAAACCCTTCCTAAATACTTGAGCTGCTTCTGAAGAACTGAAGAGGTTGAAGGTCTACGTGCTGATACATATGTATGTACAGTATATGTTGGTGATTAACTTGACAAACAAGCGCTGTTTACTATAGGCCTGACTGATGCTACTGAGCAATTATCAGGCACGTCTCTCCTCCACCTCTTCCTGATGATGGATTTATACTAACACAGGAAGCCTGAAACAGCAGAAATGCTTCTGTCACTGTACAGAACAACTGCAGTCTTATTCTAATGATGTATATACAGTATATCATTACAGCAGGAGCCTGAAGGGACAAGCTGTCTGTCTTTCTTCATGCCTTTTCTGTCTCTACTCCCCAAACACACTTTTCTCCCCCATCTCCATCTCTGCTCTCCTCCTCCGCTGCACCTGTGTGCTTTTCTTTACTGAAGGAATCTCCTGGCCTTCTCCTCCTCGCAGTCTGCTGACTGATTTGAAAAACTGCTGACAGGCACTCAGCAGATGAACCACGATGAGAGGAGGAAGACCTGTTGAAAGTCTACAAATTTCTGGAGCTTATTCATGCCGATCGTCCGCGTGCTGAGATGTCGTGACTTTAACAACCTGCACGGAGACGCGGGGGCAGAGGGAAGGGGAGGCTGATGTCCATTTGTTGACTTGTTCAATTTGCTTGTTATTCCTTCCTGAGTGGGTCAGCGGGGCCTCTCCAGTGACGGTTCCTCACAGTAATAGTCAGAGACATGTTTTCATCCTCCCGCTCAACTCTCTGAAGAACGGCTAACTATGAAAGAGAAAATGGAATGACAACATCTGCTGCGGGACGGCGTACAGACCACCCCTGTCAGAGAGCATTCAGCTCAATATCAGTGGCATGGACCTGGGGAGAACTTAAAGTCTGTGTATTGAAAAACAGCTGACCACATGTGGTGTTTTTTTTTTTTTAGGGTGGAGCGAGCTGCTGCAGAAAGACAGGCATTTCTGGTAGCCTTGCAAAATCTCTTTGATCTGCTTTTTTCTTTCTTCTTATATTTCCCCCTTTTATGCTTCTTTTACTCACTCCATCAATATGGCATCACTCTCCCTCACAAACACACGTGTGTAGACGCAGGAGCACCTGTGTGGAGTCACCTGCGCACAATTAGCTAGCACCCACCCTGCTTTAACTCGAACTAAGCCACCAAAACCTCCACTCATCCGGACCCCCCTCTCCATACACGCAACTATGAGCCTGTTTTTGCACACACAGGCGTTGCAGAAGCGCTGCGAAAGATGGGTGGGCTGTACGATAACAACCGCCAGCGCTTCAGAAAAACAAGGATCTGAGCGTGTGTGTGTGTGTGTGCTAGCCTGTGAAGTGCCCTGAGCATCATATAGGCCATGCAAAATCATGAAGTGAAGGGATCAGAGAGATCGCTTTGAAGAAGACGGCAGCAGTGAGAGCATTCGCGTTCACCCAGAATCTCTGTGCTTCTTCCTCCAAGCGCACAGACACTTGCATACATACATGCAGACGTGGCAGTGTCACATACATACAAAACCGCTCGCACGCACACTCGCTGACCCAATGGGATCCACACACGAACTATGTCACCCACTTGTGCCCTGTGGTGGGACATGGAGGGGCTCAGACCTCTGTTTTCTCTGGATCCCCAGAAGAGAAGCCCTTAATCCCTGGCCAAGTCTGAGCAAATATCTCCGGCAGGCACGCTCCACACACAGCCTTAATCAAAACAGCCGAGGGGGTGACTGAGTCGCACTTTCAATTTCAAGTTTGCTTTATCTATCGTGAACTCTGTATCTTAAAGAGAGATTCAAACTTCAAAGCAGAGTTTTGAGTGTTATCGGGTGCGCTGTATGACCAGATGTAACCAAGATACCTGTGTTTCATACTCAGTCTCCAAACCTTACCATATGTATTTACATTAAGCATACAGTATAGCATGCATTACCTATCAACAATTCTGGTTTGATTCGTTATACCGATACAAATGGGGAACGAGAGGCTTTCTTATTCTCTGCGGAGGATTCATATAGTTTTTATTTCTATATTTTATCTTGGAACCACACTGTGGATTTTCCTCATTTTGACTGAACAGAGAGAATGTGGCCTGCAAAAAATGTGGGAAAAAAAGATTTGTTTAGCTATGCTGCAGCAAAATTATTGGTTTTATGTTTAAAGACATTCTCATGAAAATGACCAATTGTTTGTTCGTGATGAAAAGGCATTTTACCAATGGTTTTGCATGCTAGTAATAAAGCAAGGGACTGCTCTTTGAACTGTCACTTCTGTGCCCGGAGTACAGCAGACAACACACCAAATTAGCAATTAAGATTGTCTGGGAGCAGGACTCTTTCCAGACATGTGTGTTTTGACTTCGAAGTTTTCACGCATCTCTCTTTAAGAGAACCTCCTTCAAAAGAGCTGCTGCGTTTCAAAAGGGTGATAATTGATCCTGACACATGATTAAAGATGTGTTCATGTTAAGCTCAAATTTTCCTTCTCCTGGATGAAAAGCAGGGTGACAGAACTCTAAACAAGACGGCCAGATCGTCTGAGGGGTAGAGCCCAAACGTCCTCGAGGGAGGAGAAGTTTAGCCCTGTTAGTGGAAGGCTCTGTCAGCCCTGACACTCAGCACTGGAACCTTTTAGTCACACAATCACAGAGTGCAT